GCTTTTAACTCTGCATTTGGCTCTGTGTTTCTTATTTAATAAGACCGTTCAGAACTACATCTACACACACCCATAGAGAAATGTATGTAGTTTTCACCACTTATCAGGGGCACTTCTTTTTGTAATAGATAGAAACCATTACAGAAAACCACAGCCAATCAAAATTCAGAATTTTGGTGCCCATTTCTATTGGATTCATCTATTAAACAACGACACATAAGACTTAGGGATCATTGCAGAAAAAGGGGCAGAAAGAGTTTAAAAACTAAAGCAATAAGGGGTTTTTAATGAGACTGTTTATCTCAGGTACACATTGTAGCTAAGATTATGTCACATTTTACGCACATAAAGTCTCACACATAAAGACTTGAATAGGACTACACCTATAGACATGCTAATGTGAAAGGAAATACCATGAGGTCTCAAGCCTAGACAAAGGAATACAGACAACTAAGGAATGCTGAGAGTTGGAGAAATAGTCTTCCCTAGGGAAGAGCCCTCAAATTGGTTATTCAATAACAAATAGTCAACCTTGAAAACTTACACATGCAAGTAACATTATATAGACTGAAAAGGTTATATTTATATATTTAAATTATATATGGACATATGCATATGTATATTCGTATAATCATGTACATATGTGTATATGCATATATATGTCACAATTAAAGCAAAAGAGGCCAGGAGTTTGATAGACAGCAATTTGGACAGGTTGATTGAAAGGCTTGGAGATTAGAAAGGAAGGGGAAATGATATAATTTTATTATAATCTCAAAAACTATATACTCTAAACACTCAAGAGACAGAAGTGGATCTCTGAATTAAAGGCCTGCAAGAAATACAGTCAGACCTTGTCTCAAAAATAAATGAAAAAAGTCAAGTACTTCTGTGCTGGATAGTTTTCTGTCAACTTCTTTTATTATAGCCACGTGGTCATCAGAGCTAGAGAATGCAGGTGAATATGAAGAAGATAATATCACTCTAATACCTATATGATGGCCTGTGACATCTTTACACAACATCCTTGGATGGAGTATTTGGAGCTTCTATAATTTTCTACTGTAGAATTTATTATGGTTCCAGATCAGAAGTGCTGTGTTACCTTCATTGGCCTTTAGAGCACACAACACACTGTAAACTAGTTCTATTCCACTCACGCCTGTAGTAAACAGGCTCAGCCTGTTTCTTAGATATAATGGATATTGGATTCATTCGGAGCAGTTTGGTTGTACACAGGACCAAACTGTTTATTTGTAGTCCAGCTTTCCTTCCATGAGTTGAGTTGACAGCAGAGGAGCTGGAAATTATGACAATAGAGTTTTTGCGCTTTTATCTCCTTGAGGTAAGAATGGGTTAGTTAATATGTTTCAGGCAGATTTCTCTCCTCATGAAGCACAGCTTTAGTGTATTCATCAATGCAATGCCAATGCTCCACCTTCATCCTCCCAGTATCTGAACAGGCACAAGAGTAAAATCAGATTATCTAACAGTTAACTCCCTGCATAATTTATTTACATCTAAAAGCATATGAAGAAGTTTTTATATATAGGCCACATTAAATATAATAGTGCCATATAGGTGCACCTGAAATTTAGGTGAACAAATTAACTCATTTGTGACAATATAAAGAATTCTTTAAATGACCACACAGCACTTGTGTGTGTATATATATAATATATATACTAATTTCTCCAGAAATTAATAATATGTTATATTAAAACTAATAATATATGTTAATTTCTCCATAAATAAAGATAATATATGGTTTGTTATCATCTATGAAATCAATTCTGACAATACTGTTTTTAAACTCATCTTACTTGGGTAACTACTAATGTGTAACTTAAATATTTTAAAGATAACCCAAACATTGAAAGAGAGCTCAAGGAATAGTTGTACTTTTTTTTTCTCAGTCTGTATTTTAAGATCTTAACACTCCAGCATGACATTTTAGCTATATTTGTTGAAGGCAGAATTTTAATGTGATCTCTGCTGGGCAATACTTACACCTTTTCCTAGCCTTTGCAGCAGAAGCTCCAGATGAGTTAACACCTTGTGATAATGTAATGTTATACACCAAAACTGAAGAACTTTCCACATATAAGGGTAGTCGCTTTTTCCTTCCAAAAATTGTATGTAACTGGGATGGGAGATCAAATGTTAAATTTATATCCACAATTAACATGTACATGTTAAATATATCCACAGCCAAAGCAGACTGATTTATTCCATTTTTCAAGGGTTCTGGGAAGAGACTTAGGTAGCCATGCCTGAACTTAAAATCCACGAAAACACAAGAAACCAAAGAGATTTTTTTGGGGGGGACATTACTAATTTTGTCAAGACACAATATGAAGACATTTAAAAAAAATTAATTGTGTCTTTTAAAATTACTCACCTAAAACTTGTCAGTAAAAAAAAAAAATCCAATCCAATTTTTCTTTTCTTGGTTATCCTTTTAAAACTCCACAGGCATGTGCTTCAAAGTGCTCTGGAAGCTCTCTCTGGTTTTTTTTTTTTTTTTTGAAGCTTTTTATTTAAAAAGCAGATTTTCCTTCAGATACTCCATATACAAGATTCTCATAGGAATATGTCTCAACATTCCATTTGAAACAGATGAGGTTGCTTAGCAACTATCTTACCCCATTATACCCATCATTTACAAAGACACTAACTTGCACACCAAGACTGAAAAAAAAAAGATGAAAATAAAAGAGGGAAATGCTAGCAGCATATCTATTGGAAGTGAGACTTAGATATTGAAGGCTGAAAATACCACAAAGACCCTCTTGTTTAAATTTCCATTGCTAAAGCATATGCACACCAGAATCATCAAAGGGAACTTTATCCTTTAACCTCAAAATTTTTGTTGGATTAACAATGAGAAAGAGTGACTCAGACAAGTCACTGTGTGGTGATATGGAACTGAAAAGAGCCGAACCCATTTGAATGTAATAAAAATATAATTAAATAATGAAGCATAGGCAAAACACAAAATTGTCTAAAAAACAGAAAATGAGGGGTATAAATTACTTACTCAATGTAAAGAGACTCTTAGATCCCATAGCTCTGGGCAATAGGTTTTCACCCAATTAGTCCACTGCAATTGCAAAGACTCAGAATCTGGAGAAGTGATTAAATGTTCCCCACCCCCCACGTCCTGATGATGTCATCTGGAAGCTGTTCCTGTTTAGTTCAAAGTTTCTTTTACTTATCAATGGAAAAACTGGCTTCCTTCACATTGTATTATTATTGTGAAATATCTGAGGCTGGTTAGCTTTATGAAGAAAGGAGGTTTATTTTGAGCACAGTTGCAGTAACAGGTTGTGATCTCTCAAATGATGAAGGCCATCTTCCAGGCAGAGTTCAAACCCGAACAACAATACCACTGCAATATGAGACAATATGTGTAGCTAGAGTTTTCTTGCCTTGCCCACAGTCAGGACAAATCTTTGTTACCCGCCAGTCCCACAGCCGCTCAGACCCAACCAAGTAAACACAGAGACTTATTTTGCTTACAAACTGTATGGCCGTGGTTCTTATATCTTAAATTAATCCATTTCCATAAATCTATACCTTGCCATGTGGCTTGTGGCTTACCGGCATCTTTACATGCTGCTTGTCATGGCAGCGGCTGGCAGTCACTCCCTCCGCCTTCCTGTTCTCTCAGTTCTCCTCTCTGTTAGTCCCGCCTATACTTCCTGCCTAGCCACTGGCCAATCAGTGTTTTATTTATTGACCAATCAGAGCAACACATTTGCCATACAGAACATCCCACAGCAAATATGAGACAGGGTGAATGTGTATTTGCCCCCATTCTCTGGTCTCTCTCCAGGGAGGGAGTCCCTGAAAGGCCACCCCTGCTCCAGTAGATGATTTTCTACTCATGTATCCACTAAGTGGACCCAGTGGGCTTAAAAAGAACAATGAACTTTAGAGGGAAAAGTAGTGGAGAATAGAAAAGGAGTTGGAGAGGGGGAATGGAAAATGAGATGGATTTTATCCAACACATTGTATGCATGTATGAAATTCTCAAACTTTTAAAATATTAAGAGAAGACTTTTGGCAGGAGTAGCAGAGACATGCAATATTAGAATGGTAGACCTTGGTGGATTCAAGGGCACAGGAAGGATTAAATAAGCTGAAATATGGAAGATGGGAAAGAAAGTGGCCTATTGTTAGTCTATAGCAACCATCATAAAGGAAGCAGAGACTTGTTTGAAGAATATAGACAAATTCAGAGAAAGTTTACAAATAGGTAAACTTTTCTACTCAAAGTTAAGATATGCTGTATTATTTGACCAGTAGAGGGGATTAAAGGGAAAAATAGAAACACAATAATCAGAATTACAAGAGACAAATATAATATTCTTCACTGTTAGTTTTTCATACTATTTAAAATATTTTTATCAGTTCATTAGATGTTTTATACAATGTATTTTGATCATATTCAAAGACTCTTCCAAGATCCACCTTCTTAACACACTCAAATTCATGACTCTTTTTTATGCCTTCAACAACAACTTGTGATGTCTAACTGATCTTGAATACATGTTCTTCCACTGGAGAATGGTCAATTTACTGGGGGCTATACTCTAAAAAAAAACTGACTTTCCCACTCCCAGAGCTAATAAAAACCAGTATCTCCAAGGCTTGGGGTGGGATTTCATGCCCAACTCACCAGTTCATGTTGGGATTTGGTCTGGCTTGGACGTGAACAGGTTTTATATATGCTATAATTAATCCTAGGAACTATAATAATGACTGGTCTAGAAAGAAATGCTCATGACACAATAGTGACACAAATATCATGGGAGTAATCAACCATTTTTTCAGTTGAATTGAAGAAACATTCCAGAAGATAAAACCCATACCTGACATTATCTATTTGGTTAAGAACTTATAGCTAAACAGACCATAGGCCCTAGAAGAGAACCTACTAATTTTAAGTTGCTTAAGCGGGCACAGTATTAAACTGACACCTAATGACTTATCCTTACATCCACAGATTACTGCATCTCTCAACCCTCATTTACTTTTAGTAAATGGTAATTAACACAGTGACCCACAACTGGCAAAGGTGCAGATAATAAAAGACTACAGAATGCTAAGCTCTCAATAGAACATATGCACAGCCTCCCCATATCCCACTCAAGGCTCCTGAATTATAGTAGAACAGTGGACAAAAGAGATCACAAGAGCCAGAGCTGGTGGTCAACTGAAAGGAAATTTTGTTCTGAACACAGTAGAGCAGCTGCACAGCTGATACTTTAAGGAAAATAGTTGCTAGAATGCAGATGTATAGTTATCAGAGATGTATCTATGCCAATACTCTGTGGTTCCATGGGAAATACATTCATTTTCAATTCATACAATGGCTGATTCAATTATTTGGTTTCCATTGTCTTTTCTGAGGAATTTAAAGAGACAGCAATCCCACATTCCTACTCTTGGGAGAGAAAATTTTATTTAAAATACAGTTTGTGTTGTTTAGCAGTTATCTTCTTCAATAATACATTTGGAACATATAATCTTCTGGCCTCTACTCATTAATGCAGAATTCTCACTGTAGCTACCCACTCTAGAATTCTAAGCTGATATTTTGATTAATTTGTATTGTACTTATTTTAAGAAGTTAATTATTAGTAAATCCAACTTTCTTTGCTAAATTAAATCCTCCTAAATAATTTAATTATCAAGGTCACTGAAATATTCAATATGTGTTTTGATGCACTGCAAGTTTTTTAGAGTTCAAAAGTAACTCCATCCTATATGTGATGAGTAAGTGTGGGGCTCCTCTATCTGTCAGGATGAATTATAGTACTTTTTTTACTGTAATTAAAACATATGAATGGGGATTTATTTAGATGTCACAGGTGTTCCATGCAGGTGATGATAAACTAGCGAAGTACTGTAACACACAGTTTCTTTCTTTTGTTTTTGTTTTTCTTATTAAGCAAAAAGATCAGATGAAACCTATTGGTTACAAATAGTGCAATAAAATGGATCATTATCTCAATAATGAACTACCTCACAACACTATAGGAGTAAGAGTGTGGACTGTTTTTTAAGTAGGAGAAGTAATTTGGCAAGTACCTAGAAATTGCTTCCAGGACTCACAGCAGAGCACTAAATAGCCTCACCTAAGTGATAAATATGAAATTAACCTCCTTGAACAAGACATTTTACAAAACTGGTTAGCCATTAAATTTCTTTCCATCATGGGTTTGACTGAACAACCTTTTCAGTAATTCTGTTAGTTCTTAACTGCGCTATCAGTTATAACATCTGCTTACTGTGGAGACACAGAGAAATCTAGAAGGAACTTCATACAGAGTGAAGCAAAGGATTTACAAAGCAGGGTAAACTGAATTTGCTGATTCTATTCTCCATCCCTACAACTACAGGGAACTTGAGGCTTATCTAATGGTCAAGATAAAGCAACAGAAACTGCCTAGATATTAAACATTGTGAACAAATGCTTTAACAGAGAGTCTAAAAGAGTGGCATTAATGCAACTCATTTATCTTCAACAGAATACAGAGAAATTATTTGATATTCTCACCAAGAATTGCAGTAGAGAGTGATGGAACTAATTAAAAATAAACCTTGAACTGAAAATACTTTAGAGAAAGTTAAAAATATAAAGACATCAATAGAAGTGCACATCAAACAGAGGAAAAAAATTAAAGGGTGTAGGTAGGTTGTTTGAAAATATACAATCAAAGGGAGAAAAGTAAAAAGAAATGGAAGAGGTGAGAGAGGGAACTTTTGAGACAGCTTAAAAGAGCAAATAGTTGAGATTCTGAGTTTAAAATGATACTTTGTAACAAAAAAGCAGAGAGAATATATTGAAAAGTAACATAACCAAACCTTTAGGCTGTTTCAACCACTAAGATATAGGGAGGTCAAGGGTCAGCAGCCGGGTTGAATTACACCAAGACTGCCCCATGCATATAACAAGGAGGTCTCAGAGTGTATTGAATAGGAAACACTTAAAATAACAAGAAGAAGCTTTGCTCAAAGCCATCCTACTTCACAGGAGAACAGAGCTCGGAGGAGAGGAATTATGGGTTAGCAGGAGGCTGTTCTCGTTAAAGTAATAAAATATAACTAAAATAACAGTAATAATGACAATGTCCTACCTTCTCACAGAAGCTGACAATAGAGATGTGGTCATGAAGCTGGGTGGAGTTGGGAGGACATGGCAGAGGCTGATGAAGGAACTGGTGTCAGAATCTTGACTGAGGGGAGCCATCTACATGTGATATCACAGTGTATCTGAATGTGACAGTATGGCATTTTAAAGAGCTAGATGAAAGTGGTAAACAGTTATACCATAAGGAATTGATAGCAATTATTGAAAAAACAGATTTGATTTAAATATTATATGTCATGAAAAACTGCATCTATAAATCTGTGCAATTCTTTTTTTTTTTTTTTCTTTTTTCGAGACAGGGTTTCTCTGTATAGTTTTGCACCTTTCCTGGAACTCACCAAAGATCTGCCTGGCTCTGCCTCCCGAGTACTGGGATTAAAGGCGTGCGCCACCACCACCCAGCTCACAAGT